CCCCAAAACCCCAAAACCCCTGAGTTTTATATTTCAAAGGATTCATGAAATTAAGATAATAAATAAGATCTTTAATTATAATAAAGTTTAGCTAGGAATTCATGATAGTGTGTTTAAGGTTTTATTATTTCTTGTCTGACAATAAGATGACATTGCTCGAGTTTTTAAGGATTTCTCTTAAATTAATTATGCTTGTCTTTTGATATCAAAGTTAAATACTTGAGCTTAAGGCATGAAGACCACTTATTTTTAAGCTGTAAGTAAATTCTCATTCGCCTCTGTCAAAGTTGATTTCCTTCGTTTGTGACTAATCGTTTATGATACTTAGATGGTTTATTGGAGTCGCTGGCTTATTATGGATGACTCGTCTATTGATTTTCTATTAATACGATTCAAATTTGAAGAGCCTGGTCGAGTGCTTAGCCTTTTAGCATTCATATAATTGATTGAATTTTGAGTCATTCTATAGTTTGAAGTAGATCTTTGTTAATGAAAATTCGATTCATAATTTGTTGAAGTTTCGTTAAAATGAGACTGACTTGCATTTGATTGCCTTGGCTTAGCAATATCTTTATTTACTATATTTTCTTATTTTATTTCAACATTTTATCTAGAATTATTATTGATGTTTCTCGATACGTAATAGTTTTTAAAAGTTGGCTCAATTTCATACTAATCAAACTGCTTTGCTTATTAAGTCTGATACTCTTTTTAATTTACAAACACTGCCTTATTCTATTTATTTACATCATTCTCTTTATCTTTAGAAATTAAACTAGTATTTCCAAGCCCAACAAGTTTAACCTTACTTCTTTAAAGAAAACTATTGTAATAGGTTAGTTTCTACTTATCCTCTTTGTAAACTCTGACAATCTTGCTTGATTCTCTCATTTAGGAATTGAGTTAAATTATTTTATCTATCTTTCTTGATGGGATGGGCTCACCCCAGAACATAGTCTTAAAGAACTCCATATCATCTATTTCAACTTCATTTATCTTTTATCTGACTATCTCCTTCGCTTGCTCTTTGTTATCTTTATCTAAGTAATACTGTCTAATCAATGAGTTATTCGTTGTATTTTCTTTGGATTTCGCAACATTCTTTATAAGTTGCCATGTATCCGTACTTCCCTTGATTTTCTGGTAAAAGTCCTATACCTTCATTACTAATAAGACTCCATTCTCTGAATAACATTTAACTGTAGTTGTATAGTCTACCATCTTGACAGCATCTTCTTCTCCTAAGAAATTTCCTTGACCAACTATCAATATCTATTGCTCATACTAAACACCTTGATTAGGAAGTTAAAATGATTGATTTCTTTAATGATTATCTTTTCTATTCTGAGCTTATGGTCCTAAGTATGAATTAATGCTTTTATCACCAATCAGATTTTGATATTATGGTTTGCTTTTAAGAATCTAAAAGTCACCTTAAAAGACAATATATATCTGACTACAAGTATCACCTTCTCAATAAACAACTTGATTCCTTGAAAAAGTTTCTCTGTGAAAGAAATAAGTTAACTTTGATAAAGCGTTTTTAGTCCAATTCTTGAAAAATGGAATACTCTTGAAGAAATCGACCAACTTTGAAATACTTGCTTCCTCTTATCTTCTAAGCACTCTTTCAAAATCTTTTCTGTTTAAGACTAATAAATGTGTTTCAGTAAGAGTCTTAATTGTTGCTGAGCGAGCTTTATTAGAAATTAGTGCTAGTTCACCGAATGCTGATCCTGCTTTAAGAATAGCTACTTCCATCAAGCCCTGACTGGTTGTCCTCTAATTCATAATTAGTTTATGTGTTGCACTTCTAAATTTATCAGCAATAGATTTTTTATCAGGGCTCTCACCTACAGACATGAAATTAGATTAAAGAATGGTTTTACTTTTATCCTTTATTTCATCCTCACTGGCTCTGTCTTTTCTTCGAGGTATCAGTACTTAAACTGATCCTTGCAGCACAATATAGAACTTTTCCCCATAATCCCCTATATTAAAGTATTACAGTCTGAATCTAAAACACTTAATTAAGCTAATACCATATTAAAAGATGTTCTTATTAGGATTGAAATGCTCATAAGTTGCTCTCTCACAGAGAAATACAAAGTCCACCTCTTTCATTTCTTATCTCTCTGAGAAAAATTTGATTGATCTTAGATAAGGAATCAATAATCAAGCCTCTGTTTCTTTTCTTAAATCTGTTGGCCTCTTCAATATTGTTATGAGTGACTATAGTATCATATATTAATTCAGAAGTATTATGCTATAGCTTTACATTTAATGTCCTTTGATTATCTGCCATTGATTGATTTATTTTACTAAGAAGAATATACTAGACTTTGTAAATTAATCAGTTTCTATATAAAGGAATATAGGATTTATAATAATTAAGATTTTTATTAATTTAATTTTGATAGTTAAGTCATGATATTTGAGATTTTTAAATATGATGGGGTTTTGGGGTTTTGGGGTTTTGGGGTTTTGGGG